ATGGTTTTCAAGTCGATTTAATCCTCTAGTGATATTTATAAAGGGGTCTATATGTGCCATATCTGTATCTTCCTCTTTTGAATTATATAAACTTGGAGAGCTTCTTCGAGAAGAAATAACTTTGAATCTATGCCTTAGATTTTGAACCCGCTCTTCTGATTCTTGTAACTGCCTCTCTATATTATCAATATAGGATATCTTATCTCGGATTTCTTTTTTGTTATATGAGAGCTGTTTATTAAGGTTGGAGATTTCTGCTCTCAACTCTGCCTTTTCTTCCTCCGAAGCATTCTCGAGCTGTTCCAGTTCTTTATTGAGAGATTGGATTTCATTCTGACACCTGGTATATTTACATTCCAGATCCTTTATATATTTCTCATTTGATTTGTTGATGGCTAACTCCGATTGTAATATCTCCTGGAGTTCTCGGTTAATTTGTTCTAGCTCGAGTTCTTTATCTGTAGCCAATCTATGAGTTGTTCGATTGGGAGGTCGGGGTCTTTGAAATGCCATAGCTATTTTTACGGCATAATATATCTTTCATAGAAAGGAGACTTTGTCTCTTAACTTATCTTCCGACTTTGCTATACATAATTTGTACTATATAGAAATGAGTAGGTCCTTAGACCATGCTTCGCATAAATTGGGCACACCTATTATTAGAATCGATCCAGATGAGGAATTAAACTTAATCTGTAAATTGCTTTTTTACCAACCTACTGGTTTTTTCTCCAATGCAAAAGCATTAAGAGATGCATGTAAAAAAGAAGGATATAATTTCCCATATAAAAAGGTTCGTGAATGGTTGCATAACCAGAATGAATGGCAAAAATACGCACCATCGCCAAAAGATACTCCACGAGTTAGTTATGGTAAAATTCAAAAACCAAATTGTGTACATCAGTGCGACCTCCTATTTCTTACGCATGATCATTATAAAGGTAAAAAATGGATAGCGGTGCTTAATATAATAGACGTGTCTAGCAGGTACAAAGAGAGTGTTCCTCTCACATCGAAGAAAAGTTCGGAGGTTGCAAAAGCATTCAGGAAAATTTATGATGATCCCAATAACCCTCTTACATACCCGACACTTCTACAATGCGATGGTGGTAAAGAATTCATGGGTGAAACTGCTCGATTAATGGAAGCGCATAATGTCACAATTCGAGTAATTGGTGCATATAGTCATCGTGGATTAGCTCTTGTAGAACGATTCAATAAGACGTTAGCAGAGATGCTTTATAAAATCCAGTATGCTGTCGAATCAATATCTAAAGATCATAAATTAATAAGAGAGTGGGTCAAGTATTTGCCAGAAGTTATCGATTACCTAAATAATTATCCAACACGTCTTATTAGAGCTCCTGGATCCTCGAAGTGGGGGTTGGCACCAATAAAAGCCATCAAATTAGAAAAGGTTGAATCTCGGCCATCCACAAAATATAAACGTCCTGTTGGGAAAAATGAGGAGAATAAGTTAAAGAAGGGTGATACAGTTCGTTACCTGCTTGCTAATGCGGAGTGGGAAGGAGGTATGGAGAATCAGAAAAGAGCCACGGATCCGGTATGGAGTCCAACTTTATTTAAAATTCGAAAAATTGTTGTAACGAAGAATGAACCAATTTTATATTATTTAGAAGGTGATGATGAATATGCTCCAAAGCGTGGATTTGTGAAAGAGGAACTCATGCACATAGATCTAGAAAAACTTCAGTATCCGCCCCAGAGTATATTGGAAGAAAACACTCGTTCCAGATCTATTAATTTCGTTCGTATTATTAATAAAACGTCTAAAGCCGAAGAGTATGCAAAGAAGCGTGACGGAAAATGTCTTGGTAAAACTGGCCAAATAAATGATTTCGATGTATATCTCTGGTCCTGTGAAAACGGGAAGCATCAGTTTGAGTATCCATTAGAAGTTTTAGAGCGGAAATTCGAATGGTGTCCCCTATGTCATCATAATAAAGGTGAGAGATCCGCGAGGTATATTTTCGAAGATCTGTTAGGTAAAAAATTTCCATCTTGTAAACCGTCATTTTTGAATGGGATGCAATTAGATGGATATAATGAAGAATTAAAATTGGCATACGAATTCCAGGGACCTCAACATTTTTCCGAGAATCCAATGTTCCATAAGCGAGGCAAGATAGACTTAGATGAGCAAAGGAAGCGCGATCAAAAAAAACAGGATATATGTGCTCGAGAAGGTATAGATCTTATTTGTATCCCGTTCGATTGTGATTTATTTCCGTACATAAAAAGCAAATTACAAGAGAGAGGTTATTTATCGTATAAGAAATAAACTCATAGGATAAATATGGCACATAGTAAACTTGACCCATGCGAGATCTTTGTACTCAATGTCGATGAGTATACAAATCCAGAACGTTTTAATGGTATTAACTCATGTCCACAGTGGCCTTTCAATGTCCTAGTATCAGGGCGGACTAGATCAGGGAAAACTAATATGATTATTAGTCTTTTACTTGGGAATAAAATGTTTCGAATGTTTAGTGGAAAAAAGGGTGGAACAAGATATATTAAGAATGATGACTTGGTTTTGTTCGGTCACCACCTTAAGGAGCCAAAATATAGACATTTGCGCGATTGTTACCGAATAATTTCAAATAGTCCAAAGCCATATCGTGAAGATATTACATTCCGAGCATTGAAACCTGACAAAATACCAAAAATAGAAGAATTCTCTCCCAAAAGAGGAACAGTTGCTATATTCGAAGATGTATGCAATGAACCCAAAAAAATACAAGATAGAATTATTCCCTATTTTACCGAAGGGCGCCACTCTAATATTAGCTCGATATATGTCACACAATCTTTCTTCGACTGTCCTGGAAAAATAAGAAAAAATTTGGATTACATTTGTTTATTTAATGGCGCGGGCACATATGATGAACTAGTTAACATTGCCCGACGATATACAAAAAAATGGCGCGATGTTGTTGATATCCTTGATAAAAATTTACAAGGTAGAGAATTTATTGTTATCGATTTAACTAGAGCAAAAGAAGACGCTTTATATCTTCGCAAGGGATGGGACCAGCCCCTTGATCTTTCTATCTAACTGGATCGAGATTTCAGATATTCAAGGTATTTTTCAGCTTCTTGCAATTCTATCCTCTTTTCTTCAACCTCATATCGCAATTTCTTATTTTCATTAACCCGCTTTTCATGATCTATAGTAATTTCTCGCATAAATCGTTGTAATATGAGTCAGAGACCCTATGCTCCGCATATACATAATTAGCACTTGAGTATCGGAAGTATAATTTCTTTTTTTTTTTCCTGATATTTCTGTCTATATAATATATCATACATCCTATCTGCCACTCATATTTTTGAGATGATCGAATCCTGCCGTATTTGAAGTTAGAGTGGATGTGTAAAAATATATTAGGTATCGATACATTATTGCGAAGCAATGATCCTTTGGATCTATCTACACTAGGGGGATTTTTGTGTTGTATGAAATGAGTTTGTATGCAAAAATATATAGATTTAAATGTGGTTGAGTCGTGCTAGAGTTGAGCTAGAGTCGCGCTAGATTTTTTCTATATAATTATATGTAAAATATCATACTTGTGCTAGAGTCGAGCTAGAATCACGCTAAAAATATATTAAATCATTATATTAAAATATATTAAATCATTATATTAAAATATAGTAAATTATCTTTAACTACCGCTAATTCGATTTTTTAGAAAAAAAGCTATTAATCATCACGAAATAGCAGTGAATAAAAGTCTAAAGTACTAGCCATCAAGGAATACTTTAGGTGGTTTTATTTTAAATATATGAATAAGTTATATAATAAATAGATATATTAACCAGATAAATAGATATGTGTATTGCTCTGCAGACACGGTCTATACATTGCTAACTTGACGCATTTCTGCTCGAATATTCTGCAAGCACGCATAATGCAAAGCGAGTTCAGTCGCCGTCAATCCATCTGGGCGATAAATCCACTCCACAACCTTCCTTTGTATTTTAATACATGCTTTAATCTTTTTTCCAACTTCTCTTGCACGTTTGATCCTTCTAATTGCATTTGTCGTCCATAATTCGTAGCGACGTAATGCATAGTTGTCATCGTATTTACGTTCGGATTTGGGTTTTTGTATGATTTTTTGGTATTCTCCATAACTCACACCACAGTATTTATTTCCAGCACAATGAGAGGCCCAATGTTTTTCCATTCCAATATGATTATAGTTATTTCCCATATTTTTGGTTCGTTTTCCGGTATATACTAGTTGATTACAAGAGAAGCAGATAGCAATACCAATTTCAGGCGCATAACTTTTATAAAATCCATTAACCTCAGACCAATATGTTATTAACTTCCTAGCTTCAAGATATTTTTTACTATTATAAGGTAAGAGATCATTTTCTCTAAAATATGTAAGACGTTCCCAAATCCGTTCCATCCATTCGGTAGGAGTCTCATTTGATGAAACGATACCCATCTCCAGAATTTCATCCCATTCAGCGTCGGTACAATTAGTTCCACGTCTTTCACTTAAGCTAGCCATTTTATATAACCTATTTGTAGTGTTTATGGAAGTATATGTGATTTATATCGAATTTAAGGATTAGACCTATTTGATTTAATAACTATATACTTTAGATATCTGAATTCATTTTTTGTGTAGAATTTGAACAGAAATTTATTTATATAAAACTTTGCTAATCTCAATGCGATTAAAAATAACCTTAAATGATGCTTGTAATATTGCCAGAACTCGTAATGGTTTGTGTCTTTCAGATACATATATTAATATTTCCACACCATTGAGATGGAAATGTTCTAAAGATCATGAATGGGATGCTCCACTTGATAGAATAAAATATAGGAATACTTGGTGCCCTGTTTGTGCAGGTCGGCATTCTTTTCATCTTGAAATTGCTAGAAAGATTGCTATAGATAGAGGTGGATTATGTCTTTCTATCCAATGTACAGCTACCAAGGAATTATTACAGTGGAGATGTTCCAAAGGTCATGAATGGTCAGCAACCTACAATAATATTATACACAATAAAAATTGGTGCATAAAATGTTCGCATAGAAAGCCTTGTACTCTTGAAGATGCTATAAAAGTCGCACATACTAGAAATGGAAAATGTCTTTCTGAAAAATTTATTAATGGTAAGTCACTATTATTATGGCGCTGTGCTGTAAGTCATGAATGGAATGCTAGTCTTGAGAGTGTAAAAAATAAAAACACATGGTGTCCACATTGTGTAGGAGGTAGACCCCGATATACTCTTGAAGATGCTAGAAAAATTGCGCATGATAGAAATGGGAAATGTCTTTCTGAAAAATATATTAATAGCATGACAGCTTTATTGTGGCGTTGTTCTAAAGGGTATGAATGGAATGCAACATTTAATAGTATTAAAAATGCAAATTCATGGTGCCCCCATTGTTCTGGACGATACGCCTGTGATATTGATCAAGCCAAGCAAATTGCATTTAGTCGGAATGGCGAGTGTCTCTCTACCTCATATTTTAATAACTATTCAAATCTATTATGGAAATGTGTTAAAGGACATATATGGCATGCAACACTTAATTCTATTAAAGATCGAAATACCTGGTGTCCAATTTGTCGAAATAAATATGAAAATTTATGTCATGAAATTGTTTCTAAATATCTTGGACCGCCATCTAAGATACGTCGTCCTAATTTCTTAAAAACACCAGAACATTCCACAGGTTTAGAACTTGATATATTTTATCCTGAATATGGTTTTGCAATTGAAGTACAAGGAGTGCAACATGAAAAATATATTGAATTCTTTCATAATGGTGATCCCAATAATTTTATTAAACAGCAAGCACGGGATCAACTCAAGAAAGAATTGTGCGAAGAAAACTGGATTGCTTTAAGATATGTCTGGTATTATGAAGATCCATATATAGTTGTTCCAGAACATCTTCGAGAATTGGGTCTTATTAAGTAAATCTAAAACTTTAAATGCTCCATGATTAAGCAATAAAATCTCATGTGCTATTTTATTTTTCTGACACACCCACATACACGCATATGCACAGTAAAGATAAGCCTAATATGGGCATTGATAAATACAAAAAAAATAATAAGAACATGAAACAAGTTCAAAGTATTATAGATTGCAGTGCAGTGTCAACAAATAGGATTATTATAAAAACTTTAACACATTACATATTCATTATCTTGGCTGACTTTTCAAAACTACTCGCTGAATTTCGTAAAGATCAATGGTGAAATTACCATCAAGAATTGCAGGACGAGGATAAGAAACCAGTGGAACATATCCAATAGCTGGAATAGGTGGGTCATAAAATACATCACTTATCGGAATGTTGATCTGATATGCTGGATTACCCGGAGCATTACATCCAGTAGGTTGACTACTACCAAAATGCCACTATTTTTTAGACATATACATGTAAATATCGAAAAGATAAAATAAACAGAATCTCTAAACAGTTTAACATTACTTTTCTGGTTTGCAATCCCTGTCTCCATAATTTAGCCTAATTTTTAAAAAGTTTTTTAGAATATCAACTACGAAACTACAACAAAATAGTCAACAGATACATACTTTCATTGATCGATTAAATTGTCCATGTGTATTTCGTGTAGTTTGCAAATCATAAAGTTTTATTCCTAATACACATCTCACGTACTGCTGACTCATCCAAAGTTCACACTTATTTTTCAATCCACGGTAACTTTGACTAACTGCAACCTCACATACTATTCTAGCATGAGGATTCCCCTACAAAAATATAAGTATTAGAAAGTTGTATACAAAACAGATAATGATAATATACACCAAATTCAATGCACCCTTGTGTCGCTTGGGGGAGGTCCAAGATTAAGAGGTCCAGAATTGGGAGGTCTTGGAACGTATGCCTCATTTGGAAGTACTGCAATATCCGGTGCAATCCTAAGTCCATCTGCATTTGGTGAAGGATGAACTATAAAAAGGATGTAAGATATTAGAAAATCCATAAAAAGTCAAAGATCAAGCAAGCTTGAATTTTCTTACGTGGTTGACCCAAAACGATTATTGGTGGATCAATAATAACGCCACCATTTGGAATTTTGAAATAATCTTGCAATAGTGCAACAACATATTCATGTTCTTGTGTGCACATATCAATAATAAAAACGTTGCCGTTATTATATTCAAGCTTGTACCCAGATAGTTCACGGCTTTCAAGAAATTTGTTGTAGTTTTTTATCGATATATTGGAACCAATCTTAAAAGGTAAACTGCAATTCATGTGAGCTAACACTAAGTGGGACTTAAAGTAAAGGATCACAGTTCTATGATAAAATCATATGTTACCTATTCTCCTCTATAGGTTCCTTTGGAAATTTTGGAAGTCGGAATTGTTCTTGAAGCTTCTTAGTTAAATCACGAAACATTTTGAAAAAAGTTTGAGTAGAAAATATGACGTAGTTTTGTAGAAATAAGTCTCGAATTATTACATCATTTATAGGTAAAGATAATCGGGTTATCGATCACAAGTCACGAGATATTTGAAAAGTAAACCGGCACGGGATCAAGGAAATCGCGGTTTAGCACGTGAAAAAAGTAAATGAACATCCATAGATTTATACCGTTAAAACATGGTTGAAACAATGTTGAAGTGTGGTTGGAAAAGCAATAAATTTTACAATAGCGGACTAGTACCAAGCACATATATCTTAACATAATCATGGATATATGGTTAAAGTATGGTTAAAGTATGGTTAAAGTATGGTTAAAGTATGGTTAAAGTACTGCCAAAATACTTAAGATACACTTATAAAAGCAACAAAATCCCACCTTCTCGCATTATATTCATTGTCGGGATAAATATCGTAGAGGCAAAGCCTCATTGCTCTGCAATAAAAATGGTTGAATGGACTGATACTCAAATACGTATCCTCATTGATGAGCGTAGAAATAGAAATGAAGAATATCATAATTTTGGAAGGAATTGAATCAGATTTTGGGATAGCATCGCAACCAGAATTAATCAAGAACATAATACGAGCTTTAATGTAAAGAAAATTCCCGCCTTCTCAGTCAATGACCTCGAAGCCAGATATATACAGTTAGCAGGTAATCGACCAAATTTTTTTGCTTACATCTTAGCTATTATGACTAATAATTTATGTCAATTAGTTGATGTGTGATTATATGGCAGGGAATCGAAGAGCACGAAGAAGTCGAATGGATGCGCAATACTTTGATGAGTTTCGTACGCATTTTTGGAAGAGGCCTGAAGATGAATTTGATAAAATCCGCAACATTAATAGTTCTAATCGTAGACAACGTAGAATTTGGGGGAATAATACACCCGCACCATCTACTGGGGAAGTTGAACATGAATTAGGTCAAACATTGCCAGATAATCGAAGAAGCCGAAGAACTTCCGTTGATAGTCGAAGAAGTCGTAGACGGTCAGCATCTCCATCTCCACCCCGTGATGCTATAAACACTAATACAAACAATCCTGGTGTGGAAAATCCTGAACAAAATATTGGCCATTCTGGCTCTATCGAATCATCATCTCTTCAACCACCACCTTATGAGGCCATAGATGAAGCACAAAATAATTCTTCAGAAATGAATCAGAGCCATGTTGTTTCTAATCGCGAAGTAGCTGTCTCTGGTAATATACCCTTGTCTCAAAACGACAGTGATGTTAGTATGCATGATGTAGACCCTTCAGGTCATTACTCTGCAATAGGAGATAGTCAAACATTTTCTAATATGTATTCGATAAATGAAGAGGTTGGATAGCGGAGCTAGTGTCTTATTTCTGGAGAAATGACATTCCATGCCTGACACATAAATTTTTAGTACTTTGTGCTACAAGCTTTGAGTAATATATTGTGGAACGTACCTTATTTGATCGCTAATATTACTATGATTTCATATTCCGAGATCGCCCATAGATAATAGCGGAGCTAGTGTCTCTGACACATAAATTAATTCATACATCCAAAATATTGCCCCGAAATTATTAATTTATTAACCTACAGAACTACTAACATTATAAAAACAAAGCACATTTCCCGTAAATGTACCATTAATCATAAAATTACAGTTATGAGCATTTCATGTCTAAAAACTCTTGCATTAAATATTCTTCAAAATTGCACTCCCGAAGCTATTGCAAGTGGTATCGAAATTCCCGAACTAGATTCATGCTCAATATGTTATGAAGAAATTTTTTTTTAAGTCTAATAAAAAAGCCATTTACAGCTCTACCATGTGGTCATATATTTCATCGTACCTGTCTTGAAAACAGTATCACAAATGGTATAGAAATTTGTCCTGCTCGTGATTGTTCTAAATCTTTTGAATCGGAGTTGCAGGACGTTGAAGTATCAGAAGTACGATCTTTTTCATCCCAAGATGCTATGAGTATTGATGGATCATTAGAAAATTATTCTCGACAAAAAACCAACACATTGGAAAATGATCCGTCACACCTAGATACGATCGCAGAAGACCCATCTGATGACAATCGTTCACAAAACAAAGAATCTGACATACCTGAAACATCGACTACAAGTACTTTGCCATCCAAACGCGTTAATAAATCTACCACTGTAGATAAATCATCCAGTAAAAAAGCGAAACTGGTTAAGAAGATAGAATCACCTACATTAAAAAAAATTATCAAAGAATTATCAGCCGATGCTTCTCAGCAAGTCTCTTCGGGAAATACTATCATCTTACAGTCAGAATCTGCCCCTATAATAAACAAAGACTCGGTTAATTTTCTTGAATTGTATAATAAGATTACCTACGCTGAAGAAAATAATCAAAAAACGACCCAAGATGTGATTCGTTGTTATTACAATTTCGGGAAAGGCCTAACAATATGGTTTGATCATTATCGACAATCTAATAATGAGGATGCATCCAATGCCCTCGTTAATGATAAAATTAGGGAACAGACTGTTGATAAAATTACGGAGGTCAATCTTCGAAAAAGAAAGGAAAAGGCTAGGAAAATTTATAAACTTTTTAATAGTGTTGGTGTGGAGTTGATAGGGCGAGTTCGATCTTTTTCCGCATCAGCTATTTCGAAATTAAGTCTGGATGATATTGATTATATAATAGCAAAAACTTTGAAAGCGAATCGAAATCTCGTTTAGGGGTTGAGAAATATGTCTTACTGCGCCACTGTGAACTTCGGTTCACACCTATTTATGCAAAAATAATAAAGATTTATAAAAAAAACTTTTGTTGATTTGCATTTTTAGTAAGAATATCCATACCGATATCTGATGCGTCTGACTTCTTTGATACATCCACTTTGAATATTATCATCACATCGCCATAAACGAAAAAAGTCACATTATTTTTATTGCAGAGCAGGCCATTGGGCGATGAATCGAAGATTCGAGACTCTGTCTCTTCTATGAATCATGGCACTTATGTACCTGTTGTATGCGCTTTAAGTCTTTCATTTAATCCATGGCCCTGATCTTCTGCGATCCACTTTTTCAAGTATATAAGTGTATACTTACCTCCAATAAATTCCCTGACCGTAACTTCTTCGTGAAAATTAAAAGGAAGTTCATACATATATTTTACGGGATCTTTCTATGCCTTGGTATGAGCTCCGCTCTTAAATGTGGGTATGAATAGTTGAGTGTCTTTTTCATATTTTTCTAATTGTAAAGAAGGGAATTAAATTTTGATCATCCCTCTGCATAATCAATCAATCAGATAATCAATATGTTGTACGAATATAATGTGGCTATGTAATGAAAATTATTTTTAGAATTTCAATATGTGTGATACATGATCATATTGCATACATGTTTGTGCGATTTACCAAATTTGATTAATTACCTCATGTACATTCATTTTCTTTGTGTGGGAAATTTTTGGCGTAAAAACATTCTTTATTCATCTGCATTATACTCATTCTGTAGAACTGAAAGAAGACGTAGAAAGAGATGAACGAAAACGTTTTAAAAGGACAGTATATCGAATCTATTTACGTTAATTGCTTATTAACGGTTTTGTATTTCGATATCTAACATTTTTTTAACATAAAAAACTATATTTTTATTCGAATTCTTAAGTCATGGAAAACTTTTTATTAAATTTCGTCCCAGTATCGGCCATTACAGTTGTATCTGCCTTATATAAATGTGTGGAGTCGGATGGATGGACTGGTGATCGTGAACGAATGATACAAAAATTCATATCAATATCAGAAAATGCATTGAGAAAGGTTCCTAATTTCGATAATGAACGTTTAGAGAGACTTCGAAGTTTTGGATCTGGCGAGAGTTTGAAACAGCGAGTAAGTTAAGATCTTTAACACGTTGGCGGATATGATGAGTCGTTATTTTTAGGTTTCCTGAAATGGACTATACTGATTGAAGTGCAATGGTAGTATACATTCTAGTGAATGGGCTAATGTCCGTTGTGGTAGTAATACTACTTCCCGCATGGCAGTAGCTAGTTGTACACACTTACACCTTGGACTACTTTCATTATAGTTAAACTTTCTTCTGGTACTTTGATGGCTTATATGAAAACGGAAACCTAATCTGATCCGCGCAATTTTATTTAGTGAATTTTATTATTTACAACGTTTAGTAACTAGTTTTAACCATACTTTGGGTTGGAGGTGCTTTTGACGATTTATGTTCCCTTATGGAGGTGAATGCTCTAGCAATCGATGTGGTGGATTGGTATGAAGAAGCAAATGAAAATATACGTTCCCTGAAATGTGATATTGGACAGTGTAAAAAAGA